AAATGCCAAGTGAAGCCACAATACTTTCAGAGCTGGAGCGTCGGTGTCCATTCGAACGACATGGTCAAGTCAGTGGAACCGCTGTACTTATACAGCTCATCGTTCCATCGTCTGCGGTACTCACCGTCGCAAACGCGCAAAGGCCCGTCAATCCTCCGCAAAATCTTTCTCTCGAATACTCCAAGTGCTAATGCTGGTTCCCAAGTAATCGAAATTCTCTACTTTCCCGAAATTATAACTGTCAACAGTTACCAAGGCGCGAATGTGCTGATTGTTTGTTTGATTTCAGGAGATACTTCGTCTTGTTTTCGTTTACCACTAGATCCATTCGCTTTGCTTCCTTATTAAACTTGGAAAAGGCAGAACAGACTTCGCCGTTTTTGTTACCGATGATGTCGATGTCATCGCCATAAGCCAGAAATTGTACGCTCTTGTAGTAAAGTCTTCCTGAGCGGTTCAGTTCTGCAGCTCTTATTATATTCTCCAACTTCAGATTAAATAAGTTACATGAAAGGAAGACACCCTGTCTGAAACCCCGTGTGGTAGCGAACGGCTCAGATAGGTCTGACAGAGCTGGTGGTATTGCTCTCCGTCATTTTACACAGTCGGGTGAGTTTTGGGGGGATGCCAAATTCTGACCTAGCGGCGTATAGGCAACTCCTTTTAGTGCGGCTTTAAAGTCGACAAATATGTGGTGAGTGTCGAACCTTTTCTGGCGGGTATTTTCCAAGGTTTGGCTTATTGTGAATACCTGGAATATGGTGGATTTGCCAGGTCTAAAGCCACACTGGTAAGGCCCAATCAGTTCATTGACGGTTGTATTGAGTCCTTCACACAATACATTCGATAAGACCTTGCAACCTATGTGTCATAGACCAAATATATAACAAAGCAAAACATCAAATAAAAGCATATGAATTAGTCTGCGAATAACTGCCTTTGAATGGGGTTGGTTACCACAATTCTGGCGACGAGGGAAAAAAGAAAGAAACACGTAATAAATCTGAGGTTAACTAGGAGCGGTGTCCTCTAATGAAGAAGGATCGAGAACTGGAGCAGAAGCGAGCGCCGGAGTAGGAGCGCAGCCTCATATAGTCACTCCAGTGGCAGCATTCCACTTTGATGCGCTATTGATTTTCAATGCAGACTGAACTAAGAAGCGCCAGCTATTGTTACACTACATGAGAACGGCGACCTATGATTTTCTCTTCGACAAGGTTCTACACATACTTTCTTTTTGGTTGTTTGTGTTTCCGACAGGGTAGGAGTATGATGTATTGTGGAACGATTTTCAGAACGAAAAATGACACTGAAGATGGCACAACGCCGAAACCGGTTTGTCTCCAAACCAAATTTGACAAGGGATGACGGAACATCGTTCTACACATAGTTCCGGAGGACATGTCATATGAAAATATTGTCCAGGTTTTAGAAGACAACTTTAACCCGAAAGGTAACGAAATTCTTGAGAATTACCGATTTCATTTTCGCAAACAAAAATCGGAGGAATCTTGCAGTGAATTTTTGGTGGCACCTCGCCGTTTAGCTGCAGGGTGTAATTTTGGAAATCACTCAGATACAGCGCTTTGCAATCAATTCGTGTTTGGACTTAGAAGCCAAAGAATTCAAAGCCGATTACTTGAAAACAAATAACTCACTTTATTGGATGCATTAAATACAGCCAAAGCCTAACTGTACTATGTGCGCTGAACATTTAGCATTTCAATGCTCTCACAAGGAGACAACTTGTCATTTCTGAGGAGGTACTACATGATTGCATAGTGGAGGAGTTATTACAGATCGAGGACGCATCGCGTTCGATAGCAGCAGCTACCGGAGGCGCAAAGAATCGCGCCAAGCTAACTTGAAAGCTACCGGTAAACATTGCAGTGATAGAGTTCGAAATAGACACGGGAGCGCCTGTCATAATTATAAGTTGAGCAGACGCAAAGAAGCATTTTTCAAAATTGCGCGTCATTCCGACTGACGTACAGCTGGTTAGTTACAGCAACACACCGCTAGAGTGGCTCGGTTATATTTGGGTAACAGCGATGGCAAACCCGCCAGCTAAGGTAAAAATATATATCTTCCGATCAAATCGCAAGCCTTTGCTCGGTAGAGAGTGGATGCGTTCCATAAAGAAAAATCGCCAGCCATGGAAATGTTTGGTCGCCAAACTCAATTGTGATTAGATCTGATGCTTCCGCAAAATGGTAATCTCTGCTACGGAACGTAAACTTCCGCCAAAACCCTTTAAGTTGGGTGAGAAAGTGGCTATACGCGATTATTTGTCTAGCAGCAAATGGCAATTTGGGACAGTATCCGAAGCAATTGGAGACCTACACTTTGACATACAGTTCGATGACGGTCGGACATTGAAGAGACATATATGTAGATCAGGTTAAGAAAGTCGGTGAGCAGCTGATAAGCCAGCATAGCGTTACGTAAACGCAATTTGAAAGCAGTCCCTCTGAAACAGCTACGATGCCAGCAGAAACGAACCGGCTGACCTCGCTGCAAATACACAGGGTGAACTGCGCTGATCTAAGAGAACAAAGCGCGCGCGAGAGCGTTTACAATATAATCATTAATTTTATTTCGATATTTTCACTATTTATTTCATATACATTTTTCTTAAATTATATTTCAATTTAACATTTCATAGAAAAAACCTTCAAGTTCGGATCACATTACCATTTTACCTTATAAATAATGAACGCTGAAATTAACTGAATTTCCTAAAATGTTGTACTGTATCGAATATTTACTTAACAACAAGTGTTTCAGAGATGTCATCGACCAAATGTCAAACAAAGCAAAACATGAAATAAAAACATATGAATTAGTCTGCAAATAACTGTATTCGAATGATTTTGGTTGGTTACCACACTATGCTTAGAAGGCTGATCCCGTGGTAGAAGTAGTAGTAGTAGAGTAGTAGAGCGCCTTTGAATACCAGTCGTCGGGTATGCACCTTATTAGCTCCTTGCCATTATTCAATTATAATGCCGTCAGCTAAAGCAGCTTTGTTACTTTTCAACATAATCGCTATACGTACCTCGTCATAGTCAGGCGCTGGGATATCGACTCTATCGTCATCGACTGGGGACTCGGGTTCGCCATTTCCACATCTTTCACTGCTTCTGCCATTCAAAAGGATCGAATAGTTTTCGCCATGGTGGTTCCTACAGAAATCTTGAAACCTTCCGTAGGTCGCTAAACTCTGCTAAAAATTTCGGGTGTTTTTTTTCGGCCAGCATTTCAAGCATTTTTCTCTGCAGCTTCTCGACACTCCTCGTCGTACCAGTAATGAGCGGGAATGAGGTTTCACTGCTCGCGTATGTCGGTTTGTGGAAGAGTGCTCTCTCACAGCAGGTGTGAGAGTCGAGCGGCGAATCCATTGGCCGTCTCTTTTGATAGCAGTTTTTTGGCGTTGAACCTTCCTTGCACGGTTGGGGGCACTTTTTTTGCTGCACTGAGGTGGGGTCGTATATTGGGTGCATCAATATCAGTGGTGCGAGTCGATGTTTGGCCCTGGGAGAGTACGTATGAGCATCTAAAACACTGGAAGCATAACTTTCGTCTACCACAACATGCCCGATTTGGTTTCACGTTTTTTCGATCTGGAGACACCCATGTAGCTTGATGGATCTTCTTATGCTAGAACCCAGTACTACATACTACCAAGTTTTGGACCCCGGCGAAGTCGATCAGCCTCAGCTCGCCGTTTCTTTGTGGATGCTGAATTTTCCGATGCTGGCATTTAAATCGCCAAGCCCGATTTTTATACCTGTGGGAAATTCTTTACAATAGCGTACAATTACTGATGTATGTCGACGAGATTGACATCATCGGTAAAAACAAGGGCCACTCTGTTGTGGCATGGACAATGAAAACATCTGATTAGGCGGCTATTGGAGAATTCACGGGCATTTTTTCGTTGGCGGACATTACAGAGTTTGTTTTCTCAATATATGTAAGACCTACTAAAGATTAATCAACGTCGCTTAGTAACTGGTGTGTTAACTAAGAGCCAAGTACAGGAAAAGATCCATATAAAAGAGGAACAAATCATCTCTTTTCTCAATTTTAAACTCGCTTTCGGTTATGTTGGAAAGGAAAACGAAGGGATATTATTGTTGACGGATATGGTGCGATCATTGCTGAGTAGATGGATGAGCGCCGATAGGTACACAGGTGTATGGTCCGGTTCGCCGAAACAACTGCATTACTGCTTCTGGTGCTCAATGGCAACCTAAGAAGAGAGATTCTGGTGTGAGCGGATATCTTCCGAGCAGTATAACATTACTACTTAAGTATAGTAAGTGCCGGAACGGGTGTCGGCAGGTGCCAGCAATGGCTATTTTAGCCTAGAGTATTGAGCGATAGATCGTTCTCCACTTTCTGCAGTCTCTTCTGATATACAGAATGCCGTGAATACGTCAATAACTTTTTTGGAAATGGTGAACAGCAGTATACCTTACTAGCTAAGTGGAGATAGCGGGTCTTGACTTAAACGTAATCGTCGCTACTGATGTCCGGCTACCTAGTAATAGATACTGCCATGTTTCGGAACCGGCGAAGTCGATCGGCCTCAGTCCGTTATCGGGCGTTTAGGGTGGTATTATCACTTGCGAAGCGAATGAATTTGGCGAAGCGAACGGTTTGGCGAAGCGAATAGGGGGCACAAGCTGGTACAAGCGAACACTATTAATGCATATTTTAGATGCGTTCACAAACCATTCGCTTCGCCAAACTGTTCGCTTCGCAAATGATAATACCAGTTTTAACCTTGCAGGCTCAATTTTTCTACAGTGGCGTCAGAGATCCCTTCTTTGCCCACCTTGGCATAGAAATCGCCTAGTACGATTTTTATATGGTGGATTTTTAGTGGTTTGGGTACCGCCACACTAAAACCCACAACAACGTCTACGTTTGCACTAATGCATAAAATTTAAGTCAAAAAACAAACTGGTTCTCTGAAATTTTTTTAATTTCACGATTTAATTGACGGTTCGTTGCCTTTGGCTTATACTCGTACACAAAAGCATACATACATACATAAATACATACATAGACAAACTCCAAAAATTATAGCCGACAAAAAGAGTGGATATCAATTTCTGTAAACTGTTATCTTCTTCTTCTTTGTCTTCGCTATTTTTGTTGTCTTTGTGCTCTAACTTGAGCTCATCTTCATTGTGATTGCCTTCTTCTGCGAGCTTGAATTCTCCTTCTAGCACGCCTACGTCTTGCCGCAGCATTATTTGCGGGCTGCAGCTGGTGCTGGTGTTGCGGGTGTTGCTACTGGTGCTGGCGTTGCCGCTGTTGCTTTTAATGCTGCTACTGCAGCTGGTGCTGGTGTTGCGGCTGTTGCTACTGGTGCTGGCGTTGCTGCTGTTGCTTTTAATGCTGCTAGTGCAGCTGGTGCTGGTGTTGCGGCTGTTGCTACTGGTGCTGGCGTTGCTGCTGTTGCTTTTAATGCTGCTACTGCAGCTGGTGCTGGTGTTGCTGGAGTTGCTGCTGTTGCCTTTACTAGCAGTAATGGTGCTG